GGGAAGGGGACTTCGTCATGGTCCGCAATCCTGCCCCTTCAAATTCACGCTTAGAAATGGTCAACAACGGCGGAATAGTAGGAAATTTGACAGTGTGATTGAGCATAATAAATCCATTTTAGTATCCTCGAAACCTCGAACAAAACCACGAGTAATAACGCTTCCTGAATTTGCATACCGTATCATCGTTGCCATCGAATATGGCATTTGTCATGTACAATTCATGGTCTTGCCATTTCTCGTGGATCGATGAACATATGTGAGGTGTTGCTAGGAAATATACCTACGCAACAGTTCACTTTGTACAAATGATCGTTGGCAGGTCACGTAGTTGAATAAATGGATCTTGAGTTGCGTAAAGTTTTTCTCTCATGCTCATCGATCTCTAGAAATTTGCCTCTTTTGCGGTTTCTCTGCGAGTCAGTTTCAGTGCGCTGCAACTAATAATTGCAAATTTTAATATCAAAGAAATTTCACCAACTGTCACACATTCTTGCTGCTGCACAAGCTTTCCTCGGCTGATAGATTGTTATCATCTCCGGTTCAGCAAAAGTAGCAAAAAGCGAATTTCGACTTTCACGACTGAGCAAAATCGAAATTTAATACTGCGCCCGCTCGATTGCTAAATATTAATAATAAATTAATACCCTTATGACTCAGCCCAATGTAGTGTTTATGGACGGCACCTTCGTTGGCACAGGGCTCATGACTAAATGGGCAGAAGCCATTTTCGAAATCCCGAGGATAATTGCAACAAACTGGCACGTCTTCTGAATCTGCGGTTGGCAGCGAAGGGCAAGTAGAAATTCCCGATATTCTTGATCCTGACAGAAAAATGGTTTCTTCACTGTATTACTGATAACAACCGAATCAGAGGACATGTCTGCTTGCAATATTCATGATATGATAGTGGTCTGAGCTCTTAGGAAGCTGTCTACTGCAACTACATGGAAATAAGGTCGAAAATTTATTTAAGGACGTCAAAGAATTAATTAAGTGAATTGCTGTGGTCGCTTGAAAGAATGTCTGCAGACAACAGTCAGCTCGCGTTCAAAACCAACAGACTCCCTAACGAAGACGCCTAATAGTGAGAAATCACATGCTCCTTCCACTTCGCCGTTTTCTCATGCGTTTTCCGTGATGGTTTGCGTCTATTCGCCTGCAGGTGTTTAAATACCAGAAAGTCGTCACGG